TCAATATTTTCCTTTTTTAATTAAATTTTGACCATTAACAAATCATAAATTATTGACAAACAAGTTAATGAAACAAGAACATCAAAAGACTCGTTTAAACTAATCGAGGAAATATTGAGGATCATGAAAAATTTGATCTGAAAGGAAGATGGTCTTCATTTCAAAGCTTTCTTTTAGGACATATGTTTTTATCCGCATCTCTTATCCGCAGCTCCTACTATACCACTGAATAAAATTTAATGGTACCGTAAAAAATCCTTTATCAAATACTGCCACTCTGCTCCTCTTATTTCCATTTTCGATCCCACACTTATTTTGGTCTCCCAGTAAAAGACATAGAATTTGTCATTATAATAATCTGGGAAACATATATGGGGTAACATTAAGTAAGCTCAATGCTGACCTGCAGTTATAGTACCTCTAGTTTCAATATGTCCTTTAATCAGGTGTTAATTGTATACCGATCTAAAAGCGAACAGTTGCTAAAAAGATAACTTTTAATATGCTGAGCCTAAAGTCTTTAAACTAATTCTGATACAATAAAATTAAAAGATCTCTTAAATTTTCTACACAGATCGATCCTGAGAGGTCACAAAATATTTTCAAAACATATATATTATTTTGTGAAAATATTATATATACCATAATAAATATCCTTTTTACATATGTATTTATGTACAAATTTAAGTCAAAGAGCGTAATTTTTTTTATCGGTCTTACAATTCATTGTTAACCGGTCTATTAGTCCAACATTAGAATATTTAGTCCGAAGCGCAGCCTTTTTCTCCTCCAAAATAAATCTACACCCAAAACATTTTATTACTTACTCGTTTATAATCCACGACTAAGAAATATTTTTTTAATCTATTTTCCTCGTATATTTGTATTTACAAGGTGCTATCAAAAAGCTCGTAGAGTTATTTGGTGAATTGTTTACTCTATAGTCTGTTTAATTTATAGGGATCATAAAACATTAATTTTTTTTAATATAAAATAACATTTGAAATATTTAGACTGGTTCGTAAATTGCCAATAAAATCTAAAAAAAAAAAAAAGTATTTAATTAAACTTAAATTAAATTAAACTTCTCTGTATCCATTTCCGTGTACGGTATACTTACAATATCTGGATGAGGTTATCCTAAGTCAATTTATTCATAAGAATTTAACCTCGTCTAATTTACCTTATTCATAAGTGTCATTATCAGCAATTTTCAATGCACATAGTTCTGTTAATCGGTTTTGCTAATATGCCATTAATACGGACCCCGAAAATAGAAGAGGTGGGATCGGGTGCTTAGAAAGAGTAAGTATCCCCTTTTGACCCTTCACACCCGCCGTGTGCCCTATGAATAAAACAGGTAAACGAGTTTAGTTTAAAAACAAGGGCCAAACAGTTGACCCGCTTATAGGTTATAATAGATGACAGTGTCATAGATAAAACCATTGCTGACTTTTAAGGTTGTTGAAACCCCTGTAACATTAACTTATATCTGCCAGTAGCCTGCTTCGATTTAAAATTTAATTGTGCACTGGGGTATCAAATACGTTGGTAGATATAAACATCATATACAAATAATGGCAGAATATTACATTATAAATAAGGAAAGTTGACGATTAAAAAAGGTGAACTCATCCCATCTGGCAGAAAATTTATTTTTCATTGGGTCTTTATCGTCTGTAGTCAGTAGAAGGTTTTAGCCATTTCTAATCTTCCTATGTCAATGGTCATCTTCCTATGTCAATGGTTTTTTTATCAGTTTCTCTTCACATGAAGCTGAACAGATCAAAACCCTTGGGATTATAGGTTCATGAGCGGGCTGAGGTGTCCTCCTCCTTCTATTTTAAAATTCAGGAACGTATTTTTTTTTTTTTTTTTTTTTTGCTTGAAAATGTTCATTGCAAGTCTGATTGTCCTATCCCCCAAAAATTTTGATACAGTAGAGTCAAACTAAATACCCCTTATATTAAACTTTTTAGGGGTCTATCAAAGATATTTCTACGGTAATTTGTCATTTTGCCTCTTATAATGCACAATCTCCCCTTTCAATTAAATACCTTAACATTTATTTTTTTCTACATTGCACCAAAAATAGATTTAAAATGCAAAGTAATACTGGTTATACTTATGTTTACTCCAATTCTCTCATTGTGTTTGGCTTGGACTTCAGCAGATGTAAACAAGAAACTTGTCTGCTTAATCAGTTTTCATCAATTTAATCGATGAATCTTATTAAAATAATTGTTATTTTTTCTGTCAGGACGATCTGTGATTTTGCAAAAAAAAGTGTCCTCTTTGCCCTTTGTGCTCGATAATTATTTTACTCCTCTAGAATCTGAATCATTGTCTTGAAATTAAAAATAGTAAAGGGGGGAATAATTAGCACTTTCTGAAAATGTGGATTATGTTTTATAGATGTCTTTATTAAGTCTTCATTGATTGTGCTTTATATATATACACATACAGATAACTCACCACCTCACCTCACCTATCCCTTCACTTCCGTGGATGTCGATGGGGCACTTTTGAACACCACTTTAATCCATAAATCTCTTTTTTCAGTCGCTCTCTGGGTTTCTGCAAGGCTCAGTCCAGTCCACTCAGGGATGTTGTTTCCTACCTCTTCTTTTGCCTTCCCACCTTCGTCCTCATTTCACTGTGCCTTGCAGGATAGTCTTTGCAAGGCCACTTGAGCGTGAAACGTGGCCGTACCATCTTAGTTCCCACTTTTTGACGATGGTGAGAATGTCATCGTGAGGTCCTATGGCTTCTGTGACTGTGCTGCGGACCTCTGCATTGGACAATGGTCACATGGTCTGTGTAGTTGATGCCTAGTATCTTTCTATAGCATCTCATCTCAGTGCTCATAATTCTCCTTTCTAGTTCAGCAGTGAGAGTCCAGGTCTCACGAGCATATAGGAAGACCGACATAGCAAGAGAACGCATTAACTGGATCTTACAGATAACAGTAAAAATTTACAGACAACTAACAATGTCGAATTCATTTCTGATATTCATTACTTGATTTCGAGATTCATTTTTTTTATGTAAAAAATAAATTCAAATTTACTCAGTCGCATTATACGTTGTGTTCATTGACGACGGCTTTGGTATTTTATCAAAGTATTAATATGGACTTATTCTCTCTTTTATTATTCATTGGTTATATTTATATATGGGTATTTTTGCTAGTGTTTGACCACTCTATCAGTCACCAGATGCTAGGTAAGTTAGGGTACCCATCCTTGTAATGCCTCAAGCAGTCAGACGAGTTTTTTTTATTGTGTCTGGTGACTTTTGCTGGTAAATATACATTCCTAACGAGTCCTGAATAAACAAAATTATTATTTTTACAAGTGCTTTCCTTTCATATTGTTCAACACTCCCAAACCTTCACTAGACAGAACTTGCAAACAAAAGGTGCTCTACACAGCAAGTATATTCCCCAAAATATAAGTTTAAGTCCATAATACATGCATTGCACTTCTTCATGCTTTTCAAGAAATCAAAGATGACGTCAGAGCTAGCAAGAAGTATCACGAACGGAAAGTTTCTTACTGACAGTAAGCACCTGCTAGACGAGGGTACACACAATCACCACAATGGAGATTCCAACCTCCACAGCAGAGTTTCAAGAACCACCAACGACCAGACTCAGAACTATCAGCACACTCAGCAAGGTTACAGATCACAGGGACGAGGCAACACCTACAACTCAAAGGGCCAGCAGAACAAGGCTTCCGGAATCCGCGCTACACCCACAATGATGAGTTTGGCGATTCTTTTCAAAGCCATTGATTTAATAGACGCTATTTTGTTATTAAGTCGGTCATTTTGAGATATCATGCACCCAAAGACAATATTAACATGCATTCTTTACAAAATCAATGATTTTCACACCTAATCAACACTAGGGGCGCTAGTGCCTTGGGGTTTCGGTATTAATCATCAATAAGGAATTTTCTGGGAAAACTTCCCATACAAAGGTTATCAACTCAAGATTTTCAGTCTTTTTTGATAAATTAAATTTATTTTATATTGTTTACTCTACGGTTTATTTCTTTTTCTAAACCTGCACAATGTTTAATGAAAAACACTTCATGAACAGCCGAACATGTTATACTACGAAGAGCGATTGACAAGTGCACCTGGAACAATTAATGCATATACATTTCTAGAATATGCTAATCATTTTCTAAGAAATCAAACAACTGTCTCCGTCAATTAGTCAGTCAGTTTTTATTTTCGGACGTGGGGAGGGGGGTTACTCTCACACAATATGTGTTTATCATTTTCTAAGAAATCAAGTAACTGTTCTATCAGTCTGTCTCGGATTAATTTCGGACGTGGGAGGGAGAATCTTTCCTCGCATACACACACTTTTTCTGCATACTAAGTATAATTTAAAAAGTGTGTAGACAAAGACTAAACAAATCAAATCTTTGATGTAACAAGGTAAATCACGGCTATCAGAAAATATTATCAGAACATTTTAGAATATGTCTTAATTGTAACTATATATCTTTTATACACAATGTAGTAATTGTGGCTAAGCAAAAAAATTAGAAAATGACAAGATTAAAAGTGACAATCCGTGTTCTGAGAGCATATTTATGGAAAAGGAGAGAATCATAGCCCCATAAAAACAAAAAAAGAAGTCTATCGGGCATTCTTTGAAATTTTCTATTTTAAACTGCAATATATTGCACACCACATATTTATCTATATAACCCCAAATCTTATTGGTATTCCTACGAATTAAAGTCATGTAGGTATAAAGTATTTTATATTATTTTGAGGATATTTGATATTAAAAAGAAGTAAAGTCACTGGTGTGCGAGAGAAACTGGGATCAGTCAAATCATAAATATATCGCTTTCATTGCGTTATTAACAAAAAGAAAGATAAAACGTATAATTTATTTGAAATGTTTCATTAATACGACTTTCTAATTTTACAAATACAATATTGCAATATTGATTTTCCTGTAAATTATAAATCAATTTATACTTGAGGGATAAAATTGTCTATTAAATTCAATTTAAGAGGACATTCATGGAACACACAAACAATGTCAAGGTATTTAAGAATGTTCATCAATCTAGATAATATAATGATACCATGAAGAACACGAACTATATTCATTGCTGTTGAATAATAAAAAAAATGCAATTTATTATTTTGTAATATTGAATGAAATGCAACGTATATGTCGTCTCAAATACGGGACTTGCAACAATTCCAACCATCACAGATCTCCGCTGCAATAGGATCATTGTACTCATGCGAAAAACATTCTTCTCTGCACCATCCATCTTTGAACCAATTTCCACAATTATGATTGCGATAATCTGCGGGAAAAAAATCAAAGAGCATGAGAACAAATAGTATCTGAAGGTTATTTTCTGAAATGAAGGCAAATAATTGCAAGCCTTAAATCATTCTTGATACTTAATATGATTCTAGTGCCCTGTTCACACGGAGAGTTTAATTCGAATTAAATGTAAAGTTACTGCGAATTAGCTTCGCTTAGCGTTCACACGGAGAATTTAATGCGAATTATTCCCCATTCATACGACGAAAATTTACTTATGTGTGCAAATTTACATATAAGTAAATCTACACACGTAAGTAAAAGTTAATTTGCAATGCGTTCAGACGAGATTTATGTGCTGTAATAAATCCTCATATTTTCATATAAACTAAGGAGATGAACAGATTCACAATTGTGATTTTTTAAAGAAAAGGGGTATTTCCTTATTGTTTTGTATAAGACTAACTTTTAAATCTTCCTCAAAAAACTAGTGGGAGGGGGACCGTTCCACTGATTTCTTGGTACAACTTAATTAATGACTTTGATAAGGAGAAAAAATTGTATAAGAAAATACACTCGAAGAAGGAAAACTTATTAAAATTATCAATATGAGCTGAAAGATTGACATGGCAAAATTTTATTTCAAATTTGTAGTCAACTATTTCAATGATAGAAAAATAGAACATTTAACATTTATAAACTACAGTTCATATTTGCGACGGAAAAACCTTTTTATAAGCTTTGATTAAAGCAAAATGACATTATTGTCGTCCTGTGCATTATTGATTTGTTATATAAGGCTATATATTCGACTGTACAGAAACATTTCTTTTGAAATATTTTGAAACATTTATTTTGGTTTTATCATAAGGATGAATACAAATTAATTATAATAACACATTTTAATAGCAAAATAATTTTCTCAAAAACACAGCTCATATATTGCTTTATATTTGGAAAATATTTTGGCTTCCGTCCCAAAGATTGTAGAAGAGCCTTAGCGTGTAAAGAAAACGGGACTTGCCATCTACTAGTTGACGTCTTCGGCAGAAATGAAACCAATTAAAAATTTGTTTGCTGTTGGGAAATCTACAGTACATCGAGTTGCGAGGACATTGTAAAACATCTGCTTGAATATTATATAATAATTATTTTTCTTCAGAATAATGAAAAGGATGAAAAAAAAAATCTAACAGTGATAGATCTCAAAAATCCTTGAACAATACAAATATGTTAAAAGGAAATTATTACGAACCCCTGGACATTCGTGATGAGTTCAGGTGCTACATGTAAGTAGGTTACTCAGTTTATTGAAATTCCTGAAACATTAACTTTTATATGAGTAGCTTGCCTGAATTAAATACAGAGAGAGGTAGAAGATAGTCATCAAGAGCTACACGGTAATGGGGCACGAGCGAATGATGGAATGCATGTTCCTATCATTGATCCCGAACATTCCCAAGAAGAGGACTTGAATAGTAAGGACATTACTTATTGATCCTACAGGGCACTTGTTTGCGACCAAAAGCTATATCTTTAGAGACATAAACTTAGGTTTGCCAAAAAGGGTGCAAGATGCCCTCGTTTTTGCTAATTCGAAAATTTATCTCGGAGGGGATAATGGCTCCCTGTTCAATTGTTTTGCTTTCTAGCCACCATGTCGCCCGCGTGGCGCAGTGGTTAAAGCGTCTGCTATAGTGTCGCGAAGTATGGAGTTGATCCTTACGTCGCGGGTTTGAATCCCATTGTTTGACGTGGAGACCGGTCCATCGGATGAGACCGTATATAAACCGAGCTCTCGTGTTGCAGTAGGTGCTGGCATGAAAAAGACCTCTCCCTGCACAATGGCCCTGAGTGCCGAGTATAAGACAGAATTTGCAGCTCTCCACCGGCAAGTGATGAGTGAAAAATTCTCGAGAGGGACGTTAAACAATATACAATCAATCTAGCCGCCATGTTTACAGACTGATATTTTACACGTCAATGCATAAACACTTAAAATTGAAATTTATAAAATAAACAAAACAAAATACATACATAAGTAAATTTGCTGCGTGTTCATACGGCACAATTTACACACATGAGCATATAATTTGCTACAAATTATATGCAAAAGTTAATTTGCACCTAGTCCTGACCAGGTGGAAATTTACTCAACTGTGCAGAATTTGCATATGAGTATATCAGTTCATACGACAAAAATTGCACATGTAAGTAAATTTACGCATGTGTAAAATATACTGAGGTATGCAAATCATGTTCGTATGAATGGGGTATTAGTTTAATTCGAATTAGTTTACTGCGCATTAAATTACTTCGCATTAGCTCCGTGTGAACGCTAAGCGAAGCTAATTCGAATTAAATTTTGAGACATGTGTAATGGCAAAATTAGGTCAAATTCCACATGTCCGTGGTCAGCTTGAAGTATTTGTGCTATTTTTGAGTGAAAAACTAAGGAAAATTGTGTTAATCACTAAAATATGTGTACAGACACTGTAACACTGTGACGTGATTTGCAAATGACGTCATAATAGCCTTACTGACGCCTGGCCGTAGAAGTAGAATTTTAATTCGTATTAGTTTACTTCGCATTAGCTGTCGTGTGAACGCAATTTAATTCGCATTATTTTAATTCGCATTAGTTTACTTCGCATTTACTTCGCATTAATTTACTGCGAATTAAACTGGCCATGTAAACAGGGCATAGGTTTAATACATACCGTAAACGTATTACATTTGGCGGTGTATTCTTTTTAGCGCTTTTGGCGAAAAGAAACTTCCGCTATTTTAAGTACAACACTTAATGTTTTGTACTTATATACGATAACAAGAACAATACGAAATGCGCTAAATTCAATCTATGCTAAAAAATGATACATAATTTACAGTGTTTGTTGAGTACCGGTAAATTATTGCAAGTAATAAATCATAAATCAAAATGAGTTTCATTAAAATAAATTTGTAACCAAATAAAAAAAAATAAGATTAAAATAGGTAATATTTTTGAAGGTTTAAACTTGATCATTTTTGGGCCTTAAAAAACACAATTTAATAATTATTTTTAAACCTTCGGTTTAAATATAGGATATCTATATTGTGTGGTTTGATATTGGCTTTATCAAACGAATTGAAATGGTGTACATATTCGCGAGGATAAAGCCAATATGAAATCATACAATTATAGATGTTCTATTTATCTCATACGACATTCGTTTTAAAAGGACTTTGAGACTTCCCCTGCGAAACTTCATGAATGATTGCTAAGTCAAATTAATGACGTATAACTAGATGACGTAGCACCGTTGATGTTGACATGCCTCTAAGATCGTATTCAAAATTTAGAATTTTTGCTATCTGCGTCTTTGAAAACATTATGTGACAATTGCTTGAGCTTTACATCAAACGAACTTCGATTGAAAGTTGTAAGGACCATGGAATCATGAAAATTCACTCTTTGGACGATGGCAGTACAAAAGTGTAAGGCAAGGCTGGGGGCCTACTTGTAGATTCATTGTTGATCCATGGTAATTTACACCTACATTACTAGGTAGGGATACATGTACGTAGTATAATATAAGAAAACATTATTGAGGATTTTAAAGGAATCTTATAACAACAACTTAACTGCTAGGCTTTACTTTCTCCGAAAACAATTTAAATAGCGGGGGGGGGTAATATCTGTCTTCAAGTAGCCAATACAGGTTCCTTGATAAAATAAGACACTTCTTTGACAGATACGAATTTTTTCTGGCTTTTAAAGATCGCTCTTTTTCATTCATTGTATTAGGGCAAAAATTTTCACGTATAAAAGTTTCAATAAAATAATATCTGGAAGCGAGGGATCGTGTCAAAACCGGGAGTGCCATTGATAAAGCATCTACCCGTGGATGAAGCATAAGTTTATCCAACGGCCTACATAACCCACGAGTATGAGAAAAAATGTGTTATCAATGTTCAGGTCTTTACATTGCAAGAAAGTTTTGTGATATACTGTAGCTTTGGAAATTCAAGATGCTAATTAAAAACTTTAGTATATCTCCGTACGAAAATCGTCAGAAAATTAACATATTAAAAATAGGCATTTGCCGCCAATCAAAAAAAAAAAAACTTGCATGTGTTTTGTCCATTCACAATGGACGGCAAAAATAACAAAAAATGAAGCATAACAAAACTGGTGAAACATAAATTTACTGTGAGAAATAATTTATAAGAGACGTACATATGTATTGCCTTTAAAACCATCGGGCAATATTGATTGTAGTGTAAGCACTTTCCAACAACTAATTATTACATGTAATTAGCTTGTAGCATAAACTGGTTGCTTTAAATGGCCACTGCTTACAAACACCTGTTCAATGGGTTAAAAATAGACAAAAAATTTTGTTCGCATTTTTCATTGTTATTTTCAGGGAAAATATTTTGGCGAATACAATGGACGCTCAAAGAAGACGGTGCGGTTTGAGCTTTATTGTGCCCTAAAAAATTATTTTTCTTAAAAAGTTATGATATTGGCTTTAACAATAGTTGAGTAGATGGATATGATAAATCATAAAAGAATACGGTATGATGAAGTGCCTTTTCTCAAATATGACGTCATTAATTAAGGTTTTCCGTTTCCAACGGAAGACCTTCTACTGATTCTGTTGGTAAAGATTATTATTCTTTTTTTTTCTTCTACTTCCTAGACGCCAACTTTGAGGCCTCATATCTCACTCATTTCTCAACGGATTTTGCTCAAATTTTCAGAGGTAATAGACGTTTATAAACTCTATCAGAATGCTGACTAAAATTTCAAAAAGTCACTTCCGGTTTTGAGTTATTTCCCTTTAAATGAAAATTTATAGGCTTTCGTTTCCAGACAAAGGCTCAGAGACGGCTAAAGCTGGAGCAGAAATTTTACTGATTTTAGATAAGTGAAGGATTGAAGTTGTGCACATCGGTTTTTATTTTTCGATTTCTCTATTCAAAATGGCGCTATATAGGGGTCAAAAATTAGAACGCTTAAAAGAACCAAAATTACTCATATTTTGCTTCTTATCTTCTAGACTAAAAATATTTTAAAATATATAGAACATAATTTGTGCAGAATTAGATCTTTCAAATGATATGTCGGAAAAAGGGCTGACCCCTAAATTAAGGGATCTAGAGGGGCCAAAATTTTTTTCCAGATAACTCAAAAAGTATTGAGAATTTGTTATACATCAAAGAAGCAAAGTTGTTGAAAATGTCATGCTTAATCTAATGACGTCGTCAAAATACGTCCAGCGTCGTCACTTCCTGCAAAACCGGAAGTAGTCGAAAAATGCGTATTTCTGTCGTTTTTGACAAGTTTTTGGGCAACATATGTCCCTGGGAGCTTAAAAATTAATTTTTCGTGCGTCGTCGGAAGTAGCAAAAAATTGCTTATTTTTGCATTAATTAACATAGCTTTAGAGGATTCAAAGCATTTTTGGGCGTTATTTCTTATTTTTGTTAAAAATGAAAGCTACTTCCGGTCAAACAGGACGGAAGACCTACTCGTTGCTTTGCAACGAGCTTTGCTCTAGTTTGGTATATTTTTGAGTTAGATGCAAAAATGCTTCAAAATGACTCGTTTTTCTGCTAATTTTCCTTTAGAAAATAGTGTCTGCCACCGTCGCCCGCTTTAATTTTTGGATATATTGTGCAAACAGCTATGAAAAAATGAAAAATCACATATCTCAAAATCTTTCCGGGCGACGTTGGCAGAGTATGTTTTCTGAAAGAAAATTCTACTGAAAACTGATGTCTACTGCAACTTTTTAAGAAAATACGGGAAAATGCACAAGTTAATGACGTCACAATTAGCATTAAGGAGGTCATATGAGAAAAACCATTTGTGTATTTTTACTGCCGAGAATTCCAATGATTCAGAAAGAATGAATTTTAATTTCTTATATCACTTTCATAATTTAGCAAAATGTAGGGCTTTATTTGTATTGAAACTGCAGCTAATTCAAATTCACAAGACATGCAACAATTGTGCCTCTAATGGCTCTGTCGACGAATACCGTTAATCTGGAGATTTTTGCTGTAGATAAATTTTAAGCAAAGAAGAAGGTACAGTTTAAAAAAATGTCAATCAATATTTTAGCAAATGCCAATATTATGTCTATCTTTGAAAAAAAAAACAGAAATTTGGGAATTGACTCCATGAAATTTTAAACTTTTATGTATAATTGAATTTGACGAGATTTGGAATGTAATGTAAGCAGGGTAATAAATATGTTTTATCGTTTCGAGAAGAAAGCATGCTTTTAATGTATTAATCATGTTTGTATTTTATTTTCAGAAACATAGTTAAAACGCACTTTAAGTACAAAAGGAATCTGCGCTCACTTTTATTCATCCCTCTTCTTAGATTTATTTGAAGAAAAAACATTTTTTTGAAGTGTGTTAATTTAGTTGATATTAACGCACTTTGAAGAAATATTTTTTGATCAAAGACCTTTAATTTTGTCCCAAATTTAACGCACTTTGTTTTTTTTTTCAAAGTGCGCAATTTTTCAGTTTTTAATGTATCTAGATTTTTGCGGCCGATTTGATATTTTGCTTCATTCCTGACTTATACGTACCGTAAGTAGCAACCGCAGTACTCCTTGCTGTTTAAAAGATTCAAAACACATAATTAACATACAATTTTGAGTTATGTTGCATTTTTATGTTTTAACTATGTTAAGACTTAGTTATTCAAATGTGATTTATATTTCAATAGTTTATATGATAGCAAAAACTTTATTCATGTTAATTGACAATGATCCGAATTCTTGAAAAAATAAAAATACTTCCTCGAATTGCATATCGTGCAACTTCGGCAGCACCGTAAAATGCTACTAGAGCTAGGAAGAGAGGACCAGACACGGCCATTCCAGCATAAGACGCCAACGGTAAGAGAACTTGGGCCTGACGTTTATTTCTTGACTCCTGTTTCTTTATTCTAGCATTGGCGAAGATGGGACCAGGAGCAACCAATAGGATAACGTACAAGATACACAGGAAGTCTTTCTTTTCCATGGTGCTCTCTTTTCAAATAAACTGTAGAAACTCAAGAAAATAAGAAGGATAAAATCAGTGCCCTTGTAGTTTTCATAGCTAATAGTCAATCAAACATCACTTTTCTTTGAAGTCAGAAAAATGTAAAAGGCAGAGTGGTACCTTGATGGTTAGGTAGTATAAAAACATTACTTAACGTAGTCTTTTGTGTTTATCATATTATATTTACATCCACTGAATATTTTCTCCTTTATTTCTTAAGAAACCCCGTTGCGTTCATCACTGCATAAACTACAGTAGGCATGTCGCCGGTACAGATTTCTTAATCAGTGGCTGTTCCATTAATGAAACGTACAAAGACGTTAGCATCATTAATACAATAATTAATCTTTTTAATCCTACTTTAATTGATTATTTAAACAGATATAAATATAAACAATAAAATGTTTTTCTTTTTTGTTATTACTGGAATGTAAATTATTAATCGCGATCAGCTGTTTGAGGCAATAAGACAAGTATGGATTATATCCCCATGGACTATGTCCGTATCCTCTAAGCAGCCATTCCAGACCGGATTAAAGAAATAATCCGTATGAAGGGAAATCTGACCAAATATTAGGTAAGTGAATTCAACTCTAAGTATTCTCCGTTTACAATTTCCATTGGGAACGTAAGCAACGCGATGCCATTTGGAAAATGGCGTTCTACTCTAAATCTATTCATTACTTTCAAATGAAAGTACAATAAACAACAAACACACCATTTGGACATAGCAACGACACGCAGTAGCTTTATTTGTGCAGTGTACATAACATATGCAAAATATTAAAATAAATTTGCATATACAAGTTTATGTTGGATTGAATAAATCATGATAAAATTTAAACTTTATCGTGCTCTACGTGTCGTCCTAAACTGGTATTTAAACCACTATTCACCTCTTATATAGCCTTGCTAACGAGACCAGTTCTAAAGAACCACGTGATATACACCAGGTATTCGAATGAAAACCTTGTAATTCCGAAAAAGTAATTCATTATCACACCAAGTAGAAATTGATTTCTGTCTAATTCGTTCCGCAAACGAAAGAAATTATATTTCTACTCTAAATCCATTCATTACTTTCAAATGAAAGTACAATAAACAACAAACACACCATTTGGACATAGCAACGACACGCAGTAGCTCTAAATACAAAGAACGGGAAAAAGAAAGTATAAAATCATTGATTTTAAATTCAATCCAACAAAATTCATTTAAATCATAAGTCATTCAATTTTGAAAACAATTAAATAATCACCAAAAAAAATACATGTATTCACTCCATTACTTTTATACAAACAAACAACAACATTCTATGCATGACAGGCAGCCGTGCGTGCGCTGGACGCCGCATTTCATTAACAGTACATCAATATATATATATATATAGAACTCAGGACATTGTGTATGAGAAATAAAAACATCATAATCCCCCAAAACTGCTGCATCTATTATAATTCTAAAATATTCTTTGTGATAAACATGAAAAGCATCAGGGCCGGCCAGGAAAAACTAGAGATAAAAATAATTTTTAAAAAACTCTAGAAACCTGTGTCCATTGCCAAGTACCGCTGGATGCAAAAAATGTTGCGACGGACCTCACAACCTACCAATAAAACCCTAAGAAAAAAAAATCAAATATATGTATATAAATATATTCACTTATACCCTTTATACATAAATTAAAAAAAAAATTAGCTGTTGCTCGCTTAAGTCGGCGGCTATAAGTGACCAACCTTTAAAAACCAGCTCTCTACTACACCTCAAAATCAATTTCTATGGGTCACTCTCTGACCAATCCACACAACATGCGTATAAATATCTTGTCATTAATACATCATTTTCCCGCTATACTAGCGAAACGCGAGAAAATATCAATACATATATATCCATCCTAAAAAAATTCAATACACCGCCGTCTTTTGAAAATCCATAACGCAATTCACCATGTGAGTCTGATTGTAAAAGTCTTGATGTTATGCACACATCCTATCCATACATCGATAAATGCTTGCTGCACTTGAGTTTTGAGTATACCGTACGATTTATCGTGAAGTCCCAGGGAAGAAGACTTCAAATATATCAAATGAATTCGACACAGTTATACATAGAAGTATATTCATCATCCAATATCAAAATAGCACAAAATACACATTCCTGTGAAATATCTTGAATCCCATCTCAATTCCTTGGATATGTGCCTCTTTGAAACTCCTGTCATTATTGGTACACCGATTAATACCTCATGGTGCTTGAATTAAACGTAAGAAGAATATAACCAATAATACCTGGAAGTACAAATTTGATGTTAGAAAACTGATAGATACATATATCTTGTAACTCTGATATTTTAGTAAATATGTATAGGATCTCTTTTTCTCTCTCTCTTAATCTATATAAAAAAAAAATCAAAGTCATCATCATTGTGGCTAGAAAAACATGCATATTATCATTAAATGATAAAATGAATCAAAATTCCACCATTAAGTTCAAAATTTATGAATTGCACTAATCATTTTTTTTTTAAATTAAGAAAAATAGGAATGTGTTTGTATAAACATCCATTAGATAATCAAGTTATGATAACCTTATTTTCATCAGAATAATCAACATTTACTTTACTTTTTGTAGAAATACTTCCTACTGAAAACAATCTCACCAAATGGCATCAAAACAAATGTGGTTGGATAAACATCCATAAAATCATTTTATGATATAATTTATCAAAAAGTTCAAATTCCAATTTATCTCAGAAAAGTGTAACGCAAACAAATGGTAACTTGAAATTAATTTTATTAAAGTGTGGCGATATTATGGGCACGGCTGTTATTTAGTTTCAAATGCAAAACAAACAATATCATATGGGCAATGGGCAGCCAAGACAAGAGCATGCCCCAATCAAATGCACAAACAACATTCAACATCAAAGCAAATCATATATCAAGGTCATTACCAAAGGTCAAAGTTCATATAGTGGTAAGTCAAAGTTCATACAACATCAAAAGTTCAAAGTTCACAACATCAAAGTTCAAAGTTCACCATATATATATATAGAAAGCATTGACCCTGGGAGGTGCAGAGGTCAAAGCTTACAATATAATTACCAAAATGCCGCTTATACGCCAGAGGTGTTATTTACGATATATTTATTACGAATTACATGCCGCTTATGTGCCTTCTTTACTTGTCGTTTATATATCAGTCACTGTTTAGGAAACATTGGCCCTGGGAGGAGCAGTGGCCAAGGTTTGCGAAAAGTTCATCTAAGTTGGTCTCCAGGTAGACTTTTTCTTGTAACAGCCGTACCATTTGATATTAAGTGATCCTTTTGTAGGACAGCTGCAATAGAAAGAAAAACACAGCGCAAAAATCTATTCGAATAAGGGTTGGGTGAGGAGGGTATTTTTCTAAATATCTAAATTTGCAAAAAATTATCCTTTAAAATTGCACCAACCTCATTCATATAGTCTGTGAATGAAAAAGGATTAACGGAAGTTGACTCAGGGGGAATAACTCTAATTGATTATAGGGATTATAGGCGGATCTATGGATTTTGTAATATGGGAAATTAACACTTTCTTCGATAAAAGCCTCCAATTCGAATAGAATTGGATGTGATATTATCTCAGAAAAGTGTAACGCAAACAAATGGTAACTTGAAATTAATTTTATTAAAGTGTGGCGATATTATGGGCACGGCTGTTATTTAGTTTCAAATGCAAAACAAACAATATCATATGGGCAATGGGCAGCCAAGACAAGAGCATGCCCCAATCAAATGCACAAACAACATTCAACATCAAAGCAAATCATATATCAAGGTCATTACCAAAGGTCAAAGTTCATATAGTGGTAAGTCAAAGTTCATACAACATCAAAAGTTCAAAGTTCACAACATCAAAGTTCAAAGTTCACCATATATATATATAGAAAGCATTGACCCTGGGAGGTGCAGAGGTCAAAGCTTACAATATAATTACCAAAATGCCGCTTATACGCCACAAGTTCCCTGAGATGAGGATCAGAATGAAACTCATCCAGGGAACTCCGCCACCATGGTGGGGGTAGAGCGGCATATACGAACAGCCGTACCCAGGACCCTTGCTAATTGGGAAAGCAGGATTGACCATGGGCAACGATAGCCTCAAGTCCCCCCTGGAGAGAGTTTAGAAAAATGTTATTCCCCAACGAGGATAAGTGTACCCCATCCTGTAAAAATAAAGCTGGATCAGGTTTAATGTCTGAATGGCGAATTATTGCGCCCCCAGATTGCAAGACAATTGCAGCTATACCAGAATTAACCCGTTTGCGTGCATTTTCCATAGCTTTTAAATTTGCTGAATAGCGCCATTGGAGACGCGGAAGTATAAATGACCATATAATCCTACTGTTTCGAAAGTGATTCCTTAGAAATAAAACCAACTGCTTTGCAACCACCCTTATTTTTCTGATCGATACATTGCCCAAGTCATTCCCCCCACAATGTATAAGGATGAAATTAGGTACAGGGCCCACCTTTCCAAGAGTTCTAATCTTTTGTTTAGTTTTACTTAACTGGAGGCCACTATAACCCTGCCACCACAGTGAGATGTGTTTTCTTTCTAATGTCAAATTTGTACCACCTGGTCTTAATACAGCTTCCAAAAAGGCGTGCTTGATTATTGATGAACCCACCAACCATATTGTCTGTATATCTAAAATTAGATTAAAACTTTGGTATGCGAATGTAGGATTTGTAAGAATCAGATTTCCAACGACCAGATCTCTGAATGTCATGAGTTGAAAATCCTTTTAACGCGAGATCAGTACTCGCGCCGATACGAAAAGAGTGAGATTTGTATCCTGAGATACCAGGCAAATTTAGGTGCTTTACTGCCTTACAAAGTACCCCCGTAAATTGATATCGTGTGAGTGGGGATAAATCGAAGTGTCGAAATAATGTACCTGAACCCTCTGGACGGATGCTGACGTATTTAGTAATGAGCTGATATGGACATGCTACACCACCC